GCTGCAGATGACCGCCCTGCGCTACCAGAAGAAGTTCACCGAGTACAGCGCGCGCTTGGACTCGCTGAGTCGCTGCGTGGCCGCGCCAGCTGGCGGCAAGGTAGGCGCCCGTCCGAACCCTGCCAGGCCCAATACGCAGGACACCTCCCGTTCCAGGGCACTGGGATGCCGGGGGCTCCCTGGGCGCATCTCTGCCCCTCCTCTTTCCGCTGCTTGCAGCCAGATCACCAGGAGCTGGGCGCTGAGTCCACCCAACCTTGGCAACTCTGGTTCCCATAGAGGACCAAGCACACGGGGTGGATAGGGTCCGAAGCTTCAAGGGCCTGGAGAGACAGAGAGGAACCCACAGAAGGGGAGAGCCAGGACGGGCTTCTAGTTTCACTGCTCAGACCTGCTAGGCTAGAGTATCTCTGTGGGAAACCGTGGTCCCTACGTAGTGACACAGAGTAAGTAAGATGTTGGCATGCACGGTGAGCTATGTCCAGGCTTCCCCGGGGCCTCCAGGGCCAGTCCAGGGTACGGAAGGAGGAGGCCAGAGAGGCCACCTCAGGGCGGGCAGGCTCAGGCGCGGACGTGCTGGTAGTGACTGCTGACCTTGAGCAAGCTGCCCGGACAGGGATGAACACAGCCAGGCACCCTCTGTGCCTTTCACCCGGAACCCCGGGAGGAATTAAAGGAACCGACACCAGGCGTGAAGTAGTCATTGAGACCGAGTCCCGTGAATGTGAGCTGTTTCAGTATCTGGGCGCTTAGCTGACCGGCTGGGTGACCTCGAGACGTGACCCACTTGCGCCGGTGCCTCTAAATGTGAAGTGGTTGCTGTCAGCCTTCAAGGAGAGAGGGCCCTGTGAGGAGGCCCTGGCACAGTGCCTGGGTGGGGTGGGGGTAAGTGCCCAACAACTGTGCCTGCAATTATCTTCAGGCCCGAGGCCTCCCTGGTACTTGATGGGAGGCGGTGTCTCACACCGTCTGGGCCCAGCGTTGAGCCCTTCTCAGCTGTTTGCCTGCTGCTCACAGGTCACCGGGGACACGTCTCATTTGCAGATGAAGGAACAGAGGCCGGGGACGGACAGTCGTGGGCCTGGGTCCCAGCTGTTAGGTGGGGGTTGGGTTCTGCACCCACACGTGCCCGTGTCTCCCGCCCAAACTCCTGGCCCCTGCTGTGTTGCCACCGGTTGAAGCCACGGGTGCCATTTACTGAGCGCGGACTGGGCGCCAGCAACCAGGGCCGCACTTGCTATGGGTCACTGCCAAGTCCGCTGAGGGGAGCGGGCGGGCTCACAGAGGTCCCAGAGCCTCACAAAGTCAGACAGCAACTCAGGGCAGAGTGGGAATCTCGTTCTGCCTCCGCCCAACCTCGGGACCCACGGGCACGGTGGCCTGTAATCCTCCATGTGGGATGCCTGGCCGCATCCCTGCCTCGACCCACGAGATCCTAGTAGCGCCAGCCCCCATGTTTCCACAACCCAAAATGTCTCCAGATATTGTCCAGTGTTCTCTGGGACGGGGGAGGGGCTGGGGGCGGGGGTGGGGAAATCACCCCCTGAGAACTGGGGTTTCCTGTTTGCAAAGGCCACGTTTTCAACTCCAGGGGGCGGGACTCCAGCCGCTGCCCCTCTGGTTGCCTGTCCATATGGCTCTGAGGAGACATTTCTGCCCCAGGGCCCCAGGCCTGCGTCTGCTTTCCCTCCCGCTGGCCCAGACCCCTCCCCCCCAGTGCACACCAGGCCGCAAGTTTTCCGACCCCCCTCTTGGCCCCCGCCTGCCTGTCAGCTGCAGCCTGAGCAGCTGGCCTCGCTGAGCTCAGGGCAAATATTTACAGCTCGGAGCTCACCGGGGACCGCACAGGCTACAAAGGACTGCAGAGGCCAGGAGTCACCCCAGCCCGCGGGACCCAGCCTGGTCCGAGGCAGGCGTCATTCATTGTTAGGCGAGTTTATTATTTCTCTTGCCTTTCTGTTTCCTTTCTGGAGTGTTTGGGTAAATTTCTCTCAGAATCAAAAATACGGAACTTTGATGAACACTGGACGCTGGTGAAGCTCTGAGCGGGAGGGTGATCGGGGGCCTTCAGCTGGGGCCCCAGATGTTGCCTGTGGAGTTTACAGAGCAAGTCTCCGGGCGACAGAGCCCCGACTGCTCCCCAGGGCCAGCCGAGCCCCAAGAGCAGCGGCCGGAGGGCTGCGCTGGTTCCTCTCCGGCCCCAGCCCTGCCTTAGCCAGGGCTCCCGGCTGCTCCTCCGGCCCCAGGTGCCCCCTCGGGGCCCTTGCTGCTCCGCAGGCTGTGTGAGAACTGGCTTATTGCATCGGGTGAACTCTGCCCCACCGGACGGACACTGTTTATTCTCCAAAGGCAGGCGGGTCGGCGTCCCGAGAAGCTCCTGCCTGCACAGCAGCGTTGCTTTGTATGCATCCTGATGTCTGCACCTGTGGCAGCTGAAGGAGACGGACGCAGACAGGAGCTCTCGGCACCAGCGCTTCAGGGCCTCGCCCTTGTCCCATAAAACGCCCTGGCGTCGTCTAATGTGTCTTTGCCGGCCGAGTGCTCAGGGTGGGCTGGTGCTGTTCTCAGGTTCGCGTCTCGAACACCCCACGCACGATCGGAATCACCGGGAGAGCTGGTTCACACAGATTCACGCGCCTTACTCCGAGGTTCTGACCCATGACGGGCGTGGGGTCCGCGTTGGTGACACGCTCCGAGCCAGGCGGGCCACGTGTCACACACTTCTTAACTTCTCAGCTCGACAGAGGTTCGGCTCCGTGTGGATAAATAAGCATGCGCTGGGCTCCTCTGCGCGGTACTTATTTCCTGATTGTTGTCTACACGGCCCTCCTGAACGCTCTGAGGAACACCAGGGCGAGTTCCGGAACCCCCTGACCGCCTGCACGACGCGGTCCGTTAGGCGGCCTCACTTTAACCAACGTGGAGCCCCGTGTGGGCTGCCACAGCCTTGGCGATGCTGGGCTCGAGCAAGCAAAAGGGCTCTGTTCCCAGCCTCGGTTTCCCTCCGTGATGTGCCCACCTGATTCTGAGAACAGGCATTCCATAGCAAAGCATCTTGGGATTTCTGGGCACAGCATCATGGGAATTGTTAACATAGGGCTCCTCCTAACCCCCTCTGCTCTGCCCCCCCCACACCGTCTGTCCTTCAATCCTGTCGAGTTTACCCCCACACATGCCTGTGCCTTTAAGGTGGGCACTGGTCTCAGCCCCATCGGATGCCCACCTTTGCCCACACCGGGGCCTCCCACCTCGGCCCTGCGCTCTCGTGGCCGGTGTGTCAGGGGTGGGCGTGCAGGGCCCTGAAGGCGCTGAGCAGCATCCCTGGCATCTGCTCCGGGCTGAGGCGTGAAGGAGGGCAGGCTGGTGACCAGGTGAGGCCACAGGTTGTCGTGTGACGTGTTCGTCCCGTGGAATCACAGCTGGGGAAGTCCGCCCCACGGCCCCTGCTGTCCTGTGAGAGGCCTGTCACCCTGGGCAGCCTGTGCCGTCCTCTGATTTGGGGAAGGAACGCTTCAGGATGGGGAGCTGGGGGGCTACCTTCACCGTCTGCCGGCCACCGTGTGGGAGCGGGAGCGGCGATGGCGCCTTGGACGGGGCGTTGGTTCCCAGGACGCGTGGGCAGACGCTCGGATTTCACGGGCGAGCCCCGCGTGAGACCGGGGGTGCACCCTGAGGTCAGACTCCGGGGCCAGGGACGCGGATGTTCGGGCATCCGCAGGTTATTTCACTGTAACAGCGGACGGACATGTGTATTTGGCCAGGGAAGCACTGAGACTCTTCACGTATTTCTCTCACATTATTTTTTAAAAGTCCATTTGGCTTGTGGATGACCATTTTGTGTCTGAACAAGCGATTTCTGTTCCCCGTCCATGTCCCCTGCCCCTGGTGTCTCTCTCCCCCTCTCCGCACTGACTTTGGGGACAGACACGAGTCGATAACAGTTCTGTTGACTCTCATCCACTTTGTTGTTTTGTGTTGTCTGGTGTTTTTCCTTTTGTTCATCCTCACTTAGGATATTTTTCCATTGATTTTTAGAGAGAGTGGAAGGGAGAGGGAGAGACGAGAGAAACATGGATGTGAGAGAGACACATCAATTGATTGCCTACCGCACACACCTTGACCAAGACCGGGGAACCTGGATCCCAAGTACATACCCTTGACTGGAATAGAACTTGGGACCCTTCAGTCCTCAGGCCGACGCTCTAGCCATTGAGCCACACCCGCCAGGGCTCTTTGAATTCACTTCCGAGCATCGTCCCAGTGACTCACCCGCAGGCCTGAGCGCTTCCTCTCTGTCCTTCGTCCGAGAATTCTTCCCCTGGAAGGGAGGCACGTGGCAGGGGTGGGGCTGGTCCACGCTGCTGACCGTTAGGATCAGTTTGAAGGACAGGATACAGACGTCTTGTGTAGGGAGTGAGACACCGCCTTCTTTAGATGGAATGTCTGGCACCAACTCCCCTTCCCCGCCCCCGCCCTGCACATTTTTGCGCTTTCCCGTCACCGGGCCGCAGACGGAGCCGTGTCCCAGCTGTGCAGTCTCTGGGAGCTTCGCATAATCCGAGGCTGAGGTGTCAGGTCCCCAGATACACAGACAGGCGGTCAGTCAATTACAGTTCTCAGAACCCGCCGGGCAGCGAGTCCCACAGCCGCGGGAACCAGGGACACATGTCCTGGGGAGGAAAGAGACCGCACTGACAGGCGTGGACGGACCCTGGGGACCGCCACACCCACAGG